GAGCAGGTTCTCGCCTGCAGTCACACGCAATCACCCATGCCCCCCTCCAAAACGGGTGTGCCACGACATGAATTCGGGTAGGGAAAGGATGACGCGTCTCGCTGCACGTGTTCTCTTCTCAGCCAATCGCTAGGAGCGCCGGAGTTCAAATGTCTTACGACTACAATGACAAAGAACAGGGAATGAAGGGGGGGTTAATTAAATCTTGTTAATAGCACCTCAAGAAAAACGTAGTTATCTGTTAAAAATAAACTGTATAAAATAAAATAAAATAGAGGATCTTTAGTACCTGGATGATTGTTTTTGCCTGGAGTAGCCCATGTCGCCCGGGAGAGAGATAGGAGGGAGAGCCCGATCCCCCCACCGTGTGGGAGTTGGTCTGACCCGGTGTCAGGGGTGACGGCTGCGCGGTGCAGGCTCGCTCCAAGTCTTTGTTGTCTGCGGTAATTCGCGCTCGGTTCGGGCTTTTTAATTGAGCACAATCTGTGGTTTTTAACGAAGGAATCCCATTTTCTCACGTCACTTGAAGCAGGTATGTTATGCATGCGCTCAGCGCAATACTTTGTGGATGGAAGCGGGCTGTTTTCCTAAGCGTAACATATCTTCTGCTTCCTGTGTAGCTAGGCCATGGCGAGCTTTTCTGTAGTGAGTTTTAGATCCGAATTTTGAAAGGTGGTGGGAGGGGGGAATGTAATTTTAGATTAGTATTGCTATAGTTTTAACTGCTGTCACCGTGAGCGCTGAAGATCGACAGTCTCGATGTTAAACGTCGGTACGGTGGTTTTGTGAAGTAGCTGAAGTCCTTATGACTAAGACTGGGGGGGACGTGTCAGTTTTTAAAATACACGTTTCTGCTTGCTGCTGTCATTATTATTAATCTGTTTAAGTAAGTCCAACGTAAAGATGGAAGAAAAGCAGTACGCGTCTTTGACGGTGCCTACGGAGTACCTACAGCACTGGTGAGTCTGTCCCCTACACGTCCATCCAGACGAGTTTGATTGCCTTTTCTTCACTCTCTCTTCTCATAACTGTAACAGCCTCGGCGGAGCCGGCGTGAAAAGTCACCCCGCTGTGTTGCAGTTAAGGTGGCGCAAATTCGCCTCGGTGGCCGAAAACACTTTGACCGCCCGGAGTCATCGTGCGGTCAGCCGGTAGACTCTCTCTGCCCTGCTGGCACAGCGGGTTAAACCTCTTTCTGCTGTTAAGCAGACGGATACGTGAAAGACGAGGACAGCTTAGAAACTTACCTGAGTTTAGTGCTCAGGTCCGCGTGGTCCGGTCCAGCTGCTCATGGAATTAATGATGAAATACAGATGTTTTCACTGGCGTGGTGCGCTGCCCTCCATACATCTTGCCATTTGATCAGTGGAAACGCGTCC